GTTTGTTTTTTTAAATTAAAAAAACGAACATTAATAAATTAGGGGTATTTGCCGTGCCATACTGTTGGATAACCTGAAATGACTTAAGGAATAAATCACTTCGGATTGGGAAACCCGCCCTCAAACTTGTGATTGAGTTTGTAGAGTTGAACTGTCAGCACTTATATGGCCTAATTGTTTCGCAAGTGCCGTACAATTTTTTACTAAAAACAAAACAGAACGAAATAAATGGTTCACGACCCACTCACCAAGGTTTCTCTGCCAAATGGATCGAGAAGTCCCTAACACGGACATAATATTGTTTGTGTCATCACGTCATAGTCTCAAAGAACACATTGCTCAGTGTGTAAGGCATGTGTCTTAGTGTCGAAGGACACATCTCTCAGTGTGTAAGGCAAACGTGTCAAAGTCTCAAAGAACACAGCGCTCAGTATTGAAGACAAGCGGCATTATTGTCATAGTCTCTAAGAAAATATCGCTCAGTGTGTAAGGCATGTGTCAAAGAACACATCGGTCAGTGTGTAAGGCAAGCGGTGGCAAAGAGGGTGAGCGGATTAGGAGTTCAACTATATGGAAACATGTTTGTTTCATAAAATATAAAGGTGAACGACTACGTAAAAACCTCAGAAATCGATTTTAAAAAATCAATGTCGGACTTTTTACGCCCCATTGACACACTTTAGACAATTTATGAGACGAGCCTCGATTATGCCCATTGAGTCCAACTCAGGCTGACAGAGATACAACGTCCCAGCTGAAAGATCGAGATGCTCTATAATTTCTTCCAAATTGGGCTTCGAACTCGGATCTTCTGCGTGCAACCTTGAAGCGTTTGAACACTACACCACATACGATTGTGTTTATGAATAAGCAGGCTGACATTTTACCCTGTCAGACAAACAAAAAATGAACAGTTCGGCCACAGTATGGTCTACGGAGACCAAGATGACCAGTGTGAACACTCAAAGCATCTCCCAGTGGGGAGGAAAGAAGAGTAAGAAATGGCACTGGAGCCATCCATTAACGACAGAGGTCAAGGTTTCATGGTGTTCACGTTGAAGAAAATGAAGAGGGATGAGTTCGTGTGTGTGTGTGTGTGTGTGTGTGTGTGTGTGTGTGTGTGTGTGTGTGTGTGTGTGTGTGTGTGTGTGTGTGCGAGGGGTAGAGAGGGAGAGGTGAAGGATATTAGTTGACTTTTAGATCAATTCTCTTATCATTCCATATGTGCCCTAGAAGAAAGAAAATCTCTTCAATTTTTCAAAAAATTACACATATTACCTTTTAAGGAGAATGATTAGAAATAGTTTTGCATAAAATTAATCTTGAATAAGTAGACATATTTATTAAAGGGGGCTGCACAAGTACTTAAGCCAGGCGTTTCAAAACTCGAGCAAGATTTCCATTGCTGTTTTAAAAAAAATAAAAAATTGAGTCATTTAAAAAAGTTCACCACCTTTGCCGTTTCTTCATACGTTTGCTCAAATCTGCCCCTCGGCCGACAATGCTACTCGAAACTTAAAAGCAAGGGGGCGGCTGGTACAAAAGGTAATCGTAATGTCGGGTTCCTCACTCCAGTCACGCGCCCTTTGGGAAATTCCCACTTCCTCAAGACGCGCACCCTCCGGCAATAGCCTGCCCGACTGGGAATTCCCGAAACAGCAGGCCGCCACGCCACGGCTAAGCGAATGAGACCGACTTGGCAATCCTGCTTTGGCCAAGATCAGGGGTTATTTTGGGGTGAAAAATGAAAAAGTCTGCTGAATTGTTAAATCCACTTATTTTTTCTTCTCTTTTACTACTGGTGTATTTACACGTCAACGAAATCTTATCTCCGAGCAGTAAAACAAGAATCACACGCAGACATAGGAACCTTTTATCTAGTCCTATCTCTTTAGTCCATATCTCGCCAACACTACGCAGAATTACAAAGTTCTATCTGACATTTTTGGCCGTTTTGAGTTACTACGACCACGAGGTCAGAAATCAAGTGACCTATACTACGCTTCATCAAAATCGTTAGATTATTCGGAGTTGTTTTCAAGATATTCAAAGAACTTCATTCGAAAAAACAAAAACTTTACATGTAGTGAAACTCGAGTTGACGTCAAATTCTCAAAACTAGGTACTGAGCAGAAACAACGTTATAGATTTATTGTAGCGACTACACAATGACCTATTACCTTCTTGTTCATATTTTCTCAATTACTTCTCCACCCCCTCGTCTGTTCTTTCTTCATCAATATACCCTTCCCCCCTACCCTATCACCTTAAAAATTTATATTCTGTGCCAACTACCAATTTCTAAAGTAACGCAATTCATAAAGTTTTTTTCAAACATTTACCCACAAAAGATATTTTATACTAAAAGGACACACAGAAATGAAATGTAATTTTATCGGCGGAAGACTACGGTAATGATAATAACGGGGATATATTTTAACAATTTTTTTC